GTGGCGCGGATGAGGGGACCCTGCCAGGTGCAGCAGAGCAGCCGCAGGTGACGTAGCCGGACACGCGCCAGCCGCTGCCGCAGCCCTTGCCCCAGCCGCAGCCGCCGCAGCAGCCGCAGCAGCCGAGGCGGGCGAGTGGTCTCCCGCCCGGGTGGCCTGGCGCTGGTGGTGGCGCTGGACGTGGTGGTCTTTCACGTGGTGGGTTGCCGGGTGGCGGTTCGGGTGACGCGCGCTATCAGTACCAGCTCCAGACCGGTCCTCACCGTGGCTTCGTTTGTGGTAAGATTTGTCACACCTCCATCCGCTGTTTCCGTCACCTGGACGACCTGTTTCATCAGCGCTTCGGCTCGTCCCCCGACCTCCCAGACTGGCACAGCTTGCTTTGTCGTAGAGTTCAGATCTTTGATATGGACATGGATGACATTGTTGCTGCCCTGCATGTGATGTATGCTGATGACTCTAGTGTGCTTCCTTCTTATTACCCCTTGTTGCCTAGTGTAGGTGTGCCTAGCTTAGACTCCCCTGCTGCGTCAGGCATAGGATCCTCTGCTTTGTTTAGCCTTGGTGCTTCCATCGCTACTCTGACTCCAGCCACCGCTGTTGCACTCTCCTTCACCTTGGACTCTGGCGCTTCCCGGTGTTTCTTTCGCGACTCCACTACGATGACGCCGCATTCTGCTCCTACTGCAGTTTCTCTTGCTGACCCCTCCTCCGGCCCGGTAGTCGCCCGCAGTTCCACCACCCTTCCCTGTCTGGCGGTTCCTTCAGGCTCTCTTACAGGCCTGCACATCCCCTCATTCTCCAGGAGCCTAGTTGGTGTTGGTTGCCTCCAGAACCTTGGCATCACCACTACGTTCCCTGGTCACGAGCGGTACGCTGTCTGTTACCGAGGCCGCCACTGGTGCTCCCCTCACCACGTTCCCTCGGGACCCGGTGTCCGGCTTGTTTACACTGGACATCGTAAACCCCCCGATTGGGACATCCCCTCAGGTGGCTGCGTCTACCCAGGTTGCTCCTGCCTGCTCCTGTCGGTCGCTCACTCACCCGACAAACCAGTGGCACCACTGTCGAGGTCACCCTGTACTCCCGCGTTTGCGTAACATTTCCCAGCATGGTCTTGTCCTAGGTCTCCCAGGGTCGTTCCTCGAGTTGCCCTCCTCCCCAGCACCACCGTGCACGCCCTTGCTCAAGTTCGTGCCTCTGGCACGGACAAGCTCACTGCCCGCACCCTCCCTTGTGTCTTCCTCGGTTTCCCCCTTGACGCGCCCGACTGGCACTTCTACCACCCGACGTCTCATCTGTTCTTTCACTCTCATGACGTCATCTTTGACGAGTCTGTCTCCTTCTACTGCCGCTTCCCTCACAGAGGTCCCTTGGTTACTCCCCCCCTGTTCTTGGTCACCCCTTCCCCGGTCGCCCCCGTCCCCCCCCCTCCCCCTCCCCGTCCTGCACCGTCTGGTGTATCCCACGTCACCCCCCTCGCGTCGGTTGTCCCGGTCGAGGAGTCTGCTGACTCTGGTGGTCCTGTGGTGCAGTCCTCACCTCCTGCCCCTCCCCAGGTGTCTCCTCCTCCACCTCCGCAGCCCCCGTCGCCACTGCTGTCTCAGCCGCCGTCACAGCCGCCGCCGCCGCCGCCGCAGGCATCGCTGCCGCCGCCGCCGCCGCAGCCGTCGCCGCAGTCGTCGCAGCAGTAGTTCGTTGACTCAGGGGGTGCTTGCGTTGGCGTGGGTACTAGTCCTGGGGTTCCTATCGTGGCTTGTCCCGGCGGGCCTGGGGGTGGTACCGGTGCTCGAGGGGTTTCGGGCTCTGGGGGTGTTCCTTCTGCGCGTGCTCGAATGGAGTGTTCCGGAGGTAGCTGTAGAGTAGCTTGCGGTCCCGGAGTCGGTGCCGTGCCGCCGCAGCAGCAGTCGCCGCCGGTGTCAGCCCTTCTTCTGCTCGGCCTTCCGTCCCCTGACATTGCGCGTGCGCTTCACCTGCCGTCTCCTCCTCTCCCTGTATACGGCCCTGTGTTCCCTCCCCCGGACTCGACTCCAGCTCGTCGTCCCCCTCGTTCCCCTCCCGTGTCCCCTCCTCTCTCTCCTGACCCGACTCCTCCGTCTCACGTCTGGTCTCGCCGTCCCTCCCATGCTCGCGCCGTCTCCCCTGTCCCGCACTCTCACCCGATGTTGCTTCGTTCCCACGCGTCTCGTCCTACCCTCCTACCGTCGCCTCCTCCGTCCTCTCTTGTTGTTGCGCCTCCCCCTCTATCTAACTACCTTCGCGCCGCTAGTCCTCTTGTTCCTCGGGTCCTTGCCTCTCTCGTTACCGACCCGTCTGTTCCGGTCTCGTGTCTTGACGCTCTTATCGCCGCGGTCGCTGACTTTGCCTCTACCTGCCGCCTTGACTACGCCACCGCTCTGGTCTCTGACCCTGCCTGTCCTCCGTCTGTCGGGGGTGCTCCTGCCCTTGGCAGTGACGTCCTGGAGGACCGCCAGTACGAGCTTGCTTTCCTGTCCGAGGCTGCTCCCCATCTCTGTTCCATGCTGCTAGTCCCTGAGGGTGACCCAGACGCTTTCGACATCCCGACCCCTCGCACTTATGCTGAGGCGGTCTCGGGACCTTGGGCCTCTCAGTGGATAGCTACCATGGAACAGGAGATGGCATCTTGGAGATCCTTCGGCACCTACGTCGACGTAGTTCCCCCACCTGGGGTGAACGTAGTCGATGGCCGCTGGCTCGTCAAGGTGAAGCGCCCACCTGGAGAGCCGCCTGTGTTCAAGGCGCGCTACGTGGCTAGAGGTTTCGGTCAGCAAGAGGGGGTGGACTTCTTTCAGAAATTTGCTCCGACCCTGAAGATGACTACTCTTCGGGTGCTGCTACACGTAGCAGCTCAGCGTGACTACGAGCTTCACTCCCTCGACTTCTCTACCGCGTTTCTTCAGCGCAGTCTACACGAGCAGGTGTACCTGCGCCGCCCTCAGGGTTTCACTAGTGCCTTCCCTCCTGGCACCCAGTGGCTCCTGCGGTGCCCCGTCTACGGCCTGCGACAGGCTCCTCGTGAGTGGCACGACACACTGCGTGCTACCGTTGCTGACCTGCAGTTCTTTTCGTCCTCTGCAGACCCCTCGCTCTTTGTTCGTGCTGGCCAGACTCCGTTCTACATCCTTGTTTACGTAGACGACCTAGTCTTTGCCATTGCAGACAGGGACGCCCTGGCCTCGGTGAACGCTGAGCTGCTGAAGAGACACACTTGCACTGACTTTGGAGAACTGCGCCATTACCTTGGCTTGCAGATCTCCAAGGACAGAGCAGCGCACACCATCACCCTCACTCAGTCACACTTGGTGCGCCACGTCCTTCAGAGCCCACTCCTCTGTCTGTAGGCTACAGGCTCTCTGCTCTAGTTCCTGAGGAGTCGGTAGTGCCCAGTGGCCCTTACGCCGAGCTGGTGGGTTGCCTCATGTACCTGATGACTTGCACTCGCCCAGATCTTGCATACCCTCTCAGCATCTTGGCTCACTTTGTGGTCACAGGCAGACACCGACCTCAGCACTGGTTTGCCGCTAAGAGGGTTTTGCGTTATCTTGCAAGTACATCGGGCATGGGGTTAGTGCTTGGAGGGCGCAGGCCAGTGGCCCTTACTGGGCACACAGACGCTTCGTGGGCAGACGACGCCGAGACTCTTAGGTCCTCACAGGGCTACTGCTTTAGCCTTGGTTCAGGTGCTGTCTCGTGGAGAGCTACTCGCTCCTCGTCTGTTGCCCAGTCCAGCTATGAGGCCGAGATCTACGCTGGTGCCATGGCGGCACAGGAGCTCCGCTGGCTGACCTTCTTGCTCAATGACTTAGGTGAGCGGCCTAGCTCTGCCCCGGTCCTGTTCGCTGACAACAGGGCCATGATCCTCCTGTGTCAGGAGCCGTGACTCGAGGGCAGAGCGAAGCATATTCAGCTACGGTACTTCCTCCTGCGTGAGTTTAAGCAGTGCCGTCAGGCTCGCGTAGTACACTTGGCCTCCGGTCCCAACACAGCTGATATCTTTACGAAGGCGCTTGCGCCTAAAGATCATCAGCGGCACTGTGTACAGCTTGGTCTTATTCCTGTAGCCTCTCATTTTCTAGGGCCTTGATTGTGTACCGACCTTTCTATATATTTCCCAGACTGGCCTTGTGGCCTCTCCTAGTGGCTGGACTAGTAGTGCCGCCCTGGTCTTGCTCTTGCCTTGTGTGTACTCCTTTTGACTGGTCTTTAGACCCTTGCCTCAGAGGTTGGACTAGTAGTGCCGCCCAGAGCTGCTTATTCGCTTGTCAGGCACTGCCCTTATATAGTCTAGGGGGTGTGTCTAATGTAACTTAGGTGGTTACTGTAGACTATACTAGTTTGTGCCTTAGAGGGTACAACACCCTAGTCTATATACCCTTGTATCCTTCTATTCTTTTCACTTACTCATTCTGATATCAGCACCATAGCACAAAACCTCTGCGTATGGCTCAATCTAGTTCATTGCGTTATTCTAGCACTCCTCACTATCTCCCTGCTCGACTACGACATGGATTTGGACTCCATGGTGGCGAGGTGGCGGGGGTTGAAGAAGCGGAGGCCGGCAAAGGAGGTGGTGATGGTGCAAGTCGTGCGGACCGAAAAGCACAAGAGATCGCTAGTGGCGAGGGCGGCAAAGAGGGCGGCAGCAGTAGCAGATGCAGCAGCACGACAAGCAGCGAGAATTGGTGAAGCAGAGGAAGAAGAGCCTGGAAGCAGCAGCACCTGCAGGAAGAAGAGCCTGGACCTGTATAATGGAAGAGAAAGTCCGAAGGCAATGCAGTAGCAGAAGCAGCAGCAGCAGCACCTGCAGGAGACTCTTACAGTGAGGAAGAAGACAATCCCTTTGCCAGTGACAACGAAGAAGACTGAGCTTTAAAGGTGTTCGTGATGAGGCTGATGATGGCAAATGCTAGTCGGTAGTTGAAGTAGCTCAATAGGATAGGTACGAATGTCGTTGTTGTAGATGTAGATGAAGATGTATGCGTCGTTTAACTTTAACAAGAGATAGTAGACACTAGGTAATTTACGTAACTGGACCGATCCCACCATTTCAGTTGGAAATGCAGACGGCGCAAAAAATTTCATCCAAAAGTGCAGACTGGCCTTATGAATTCGTCTTAAACGTCAGACTCCACCAATTCTCCCGTCTGACGGTCAGACAGCGCACAAAATTCCGGTCTGAATGTCAGCCGTCCCCAGATCCTAGCAACAGCCCTGATTCCGACCCCTCCCTCGTGCGGTCTACCACCCCTCTCAGCGGCCTCCCAACACGGCCTCCCATCACCTGTCCTCCGCTCTTCTACCGCCCCCTCGTTGCCGCAATGACCCATCGCTCCCCGCACTCATATCGCGCATCGCCACATCGCCGCCATCCGCGTCCTCATCGCCCTCGTTGCTCCGCCAGTTGGCGCGCAGCGGGCCCGGCACAGGCGGGTTGTGTGCGGTGAGGGCGGCCTCCGCCTGCTCGCCCAGGCGCCTGAGCACTGCAATGATGACGGGCCCCGCGCGGGCGGCCAGGGTGATCACACCCGGCACCTGGAGCAAGGGGGGGCAGGTTGAGGGGACGAGGGGGGAGGGGAGGAGAGGGGGATAGAGGAGAACACAAGAGATTGAGTTAACAGGGTGAAAGAGAAGAGGCATGCATGGTGTGCGAGGAAACAAGTGGCGTGGGGGGGCTTGAGACAAGCGGCCCCGGCTTGGACTCCAAGATGTTTGGAACACAGATGGCAACAAGACCAGCTCGGGTGGCGAGAGCTGGAGAGGAGTTTTTGAACGAATGGAGTCGAGGGAAGCAATGAACAAGATTGTGCCACAGGGACAAAAGAGTTGAGGAAGCGTCGGTCCACATAGCGCAATGGCGTAAGCCACCCCATGCGGCATGCGCAGTCACTTCCTTGCCGTCACCACCATGCTTCTCACCCTCACCTGCTTGCTCCACCTGCGCTCGTAGCCCTCTGCCTGCACACGCTCCATATCCACTTCCACATAGGCCCCCCGCCCACCTCTCCTCCCTTTTACTCTCATTCAGTCTCATTAGGGTGTGAAGCGACTCACCAGGCCGTGGTCGAAGATGCCTCCGAGGTCCAGCTGCGCCAGCACCTCGCGCCCGATGAAGAAGACCGCCACTCCAAACAACAGAAGGAAGGGGTTCCTGGAAAAGAGTCCACCAAAGGAGGACCAGGGGGCAAGGAAAAGCAGCCACGAGGGGAAGGAAGAGAGAGAGGGAGTTTGGAAGGGGAGGGAAGAAGGGAAGGAGGACGGAGGTGGAGGTGGAGGTGGAGGTGGGGCAGCACCTCGCGGCCCATGAAGAAGTCAGCCCGTCCGCACGCCACGAGGCAAGCGGCCCTGGGGAAGGGGTCCTGGCGAAGGGGTCCTGGGGAAGGGGCCCTGGGGAAGGGGTGCTGGGGAAGAGGCCAGCCAGTGGGAGGAGGAAGGGAGGGCGTTAAAAGCAGCCACGAGGGGAGGGCAGAAAGGGAGGGGGTCAGGGGCATCGACGGGTCAGGAAACGGCTGACCTGAGCACAACACCTGCACACAACACCTGAGCACAGCCCACCTGAGCACAGCCCACCTGAGCACAGCCCACCTGAGCACAGCCCACCTGAGCACAGCCCACCTGAGCACAGCCCACCTGAGCACAACACCTGGGCACAGAGCACCTGAGCACAACACCTGGGCACGGCACCTGAGCAGGGCGCACCTGAGCACAGCAGGTGAGCAGGGCGCACCTGAGCACAGCACGTGAGCAGGGCGCACCTGAGCAGCGCCATGAACTCGTTCCACCCCAGCACCACCATGGCCGCTATGGCCCACGGCGGGGGCAGCCACGCGTTGTTGCGCCGACTTGCCTCCTGTGGGCGGGAGGGAAGGGTATGGGGAGCAGTAGCGACAAATACACAGACATAAATTTGGAGAACGGAGGATGTGAGAGGGAGGAAGCGAGGACATAAGTGAGAGAACCCTTGCCAGGCCAAATGGCCCCCCATCCCACATACAACATTCCCCCAAAGTTTCCCCACATACGCACCCGCTGTCCCCTTGACCCCCTCCTATATGTCCCCGTTGTGTGCGCATGGCATGTGCCAGCACGCATCGGGTTTCAAATCCCATTGTGACACTGGGCATGGCCCCTGCCACAAATCCCACACGCCCTACAAGCACCAAAGGCTCAATCACATCTGAGTCTGCATGGCATGGGCCTCCACGTATTCCTCATTCACAGTGCATGCCCCTGCGTGCCATCACATGCCCCTGCGTGCACCATCACATGCCCATGCGTGCCATCACATGCCCCTGCGTGCACCATCACATGCCCGTCGTCTCACACCGTACCTGTGTCTGCATGGCCTGTGCCACCACGTACTGTGTCTCCGCCTTGAACTTGCCCCACAGTGCGCGGCACTGCCCGGGCGACAGGAACGTGCACTCAGGGGCGACCTGACGGGGTGGGGTGGGAGGGCGGGATGGAGGGGGCGGGAGAAGGCCGGGATACCAGAAACGCGGATGGCAGGGAGGCCTGAAGCACTCGCCCTGGCAGGCGGGACCGTGAGGACCGTGCCGGCAGGGGCGACCTGGCAGCACGGGGAGGGGAGCGAGGGGTGGGAATAAGGGACCACTCTGACATGTCTGGACACACCAACACCACCAACACCAACAACAACAACAACAACCGAAACACTACAGAATTGCACAAGGGAAACTAGTAGAGAGGACTATGACATAACGAGCTACTAGCAGCACCCCATCATTGCTGGTCGCACCCATCCAGTTCCCCCTCCGCCTACTGTGTTCTGCACATTCACACCAAGCTGGTCGCCCTCCCTTCCTCATCACCTCTCTGTACGCCATCTCCATCACATCTCCAAAGGTCTCCACTGCAAGCAACTCTGGCGATCCACTGTCCACCACGCCTTCCACCCACCCACCCCTCGTTCTCCGTTTTTTCCATGTCAGAGTCACCCAATCACCTTGTCGCACTCACCTTGTCCCACTTGCTGGCCGCCAGCAAGCCAGCGGACGTGAATGTCCGCTGCACCCTTTTGCTGCCCTCGCTCCCCGCTCCTCCCCCTTCCCCTTCCCCATCTCCTTCCCCCTCTGCTTCCCTCTCGCCCTCCCCCCACTCCCCATCCTGGGTCCGTGACGAGTTGCTGCCCTCTCCAGAAGCGCCCTCCCCCAGAAGGGACAAGAGCGTGGGCTCTATGGAGTCGTCTACAGTGTCCAGGCGCATGGCCGCCACCACTGCCAGCAGACGCAGCGCCTGGAAAAAGAGGGGGGGGGGACATGGAGGTGGGGAGAGGGCAGAGGCGGCGGGGGTAGGTAACAAGTGAGGAGAGGATGGTTGCAGTGCGGCCTGGCGATGGCACCCTACCTACTGCACGCACTGCCATTGACATCCCCATGGAGATTCAGCGTGCACAATCAGCCGACCAACCCCCGTTCTTCCTTGCGGGCGGAATGCCTTGAAAGACTCCACGCTGCCTCGGTGAACCTCTGAACCACCCCGCTTCAGTCTAGACCACGCTCTCATGGGAGTTCCCCCTACCGCCCTCCTGCTCTCCCTCACCGCCCTCCTGCTCTCCCTCACCGCCCTCCTGCTCTCCCTCACCGCCCTCCTGCTCTCCCTCACCGCCCTCCTGCTCTCCCTCACCGCCCTCCTGCTCTCTCTCACCGCCCTCCTGGCGTCAAAAGCGATGGCCTTGATGTCATCGCCGTCCGTCCACTTGCGCGGCAGACCCTGGTCGTCCTGCGAGAACACTGCGAAGAACCTGCACAGGCACCCATGCAGGGAGGGGGGTGCACAATGGTGCAGGGAGGGGGAAACACGTGGAGAGGACGGGGTTGCAAGGGAACTCAAAATGGGTGCAGATGGTTGGGAAGGGGTGGAGGGAAAACGGCATGATAGCAGAAGTGCCTCAATCACCCACCATGTGACAGCTGCCGTCACCAGTTGACACACCCTCTCTAATCAATCACTCCCACCGTGCACCCACCCTTCACGACTGGCAATGTGTGCTACCTCTCCCCCCACCTCACTCACTGCTCACAGTCGCCATTCACTCCCACCACTCCCCTCGCCCTGTGACCGCTCCCCCGCCGCGCCCTCCCCCGCGCACCTGTCCTTCATGAGCGACAGTGCGTGCCCGCTCTCCCGCCTCACGCGCTCCTCCACCACGCGCCTCCCCGCTGCCTCCACCGCCGCCTTCATGCGTGCCTGCTCCTCGCCGCCCATGTCGAACCCCGCCACCGCCTGCTCCACCTCGCTGCACGCGCCGTCCACCTCGTGGAAGAACACGGCTCGGATGTCCCGCCACGTGTTGTCCGTCACTGCTTCCAGTAGCGCTGCAATGGGCTCTGAGATGGCATCCGACAGGGATTTCTGTGGGGGGAAGGGGGAGGAATGGGGGAGAAGTGTTGCCGTACGATAGTCACTACTCTGTCACAGTGGTGTGGGCGCGGCCCCCCATTGAGAACGACTGCCGTCATGGCATGACCCATTGAGAACGACTGCCGTCATGGCATGACCCATTGAGAACGACTGCCGTCATGGCATGACCCATTGAGAACGACTGCCGTCATGGCATGACCCATTGAGAACGACTGCCGTCATGGCATGACCCATTGAGAACGACTGCCGTCATGGCATGACCCATTGAGAACGACTGCCGTCATGGCATGACCCATTGAGAACGACTGCCGTCATGGCATGACCTGTACTACGTGGCTTCGTAGAGCCTCTGCATCTCCATGATTACACAGTTGCATACCTCTGCATCCCCATGATTACACAGTTGCACACCTCTGCATCCCCATGATTACACAGTTACACACCTCTGCGTCGGTGGCAATCTGTTTGAGCTTCTGTGATCGCAGCGATGCCACGTGGGACTCCATGTCAGCCAGCAATTTGGCCCTCACTTCCTCCACCGACCAACCGAACAGTGACACATCAGCATCTGAAGGAAGGGGCAACGGAAAAAAGGGATCTTCAATAGGGGGGTTACGCTTGTAAACGACAAAATAACATTCTTTTGTCAAATGTCTCCGAATCAGCGCCTACACTCTGGCCCTACCAATCCCAACCACTTCTGCTGCTGATCTCGCATCGCAAACCTAGAGACACGGAGGAACAAGCTGGTGGTCGGGGCCCAGAGGAAATGGGGGGTTGAGAAGAAAAAGAGAGAGAGAAAGGCAGACCTTAAACCCCAACCACATCTTAAATGACAGCCAACAAATGGCACTCACCCTCGGCATCTGACTCAAACGAGAGGGCGGCAGCCTGCAGGCAGGCAGCAGCAGAGGCGGCGAAGGAAACAGCGCTGCCGTCCTTGCCCCCCGTGGCATCGTCCAGGTCCGTCTTGAAGGCGTCCACGCAGCGCGCTGCTGCTGCTGCCACCACCGCTGTGTGTAACGGACGGATGAGCTAACGGGGGGGGAGGGGGGAGACAGGTAGTGGGAAGTCGTTTGAAGAGGGGCTGGATGGATGCGCCCACATGGCGGGGTGGCATGATCAGCGTGTGGAAGAAAAGCAGCAGCACACGCAAAGAGGAAGGGGGGCGACATGATGTGAGCGAGACGAAACAGAACGAACAAGGAAGAAGGACGCGGAAGGCGAGAGGGGGGCGAATGGCAAGGGAGCAGGACGGGAGGAACGAGTGCAGCTACCCATCTCCTGCCCCTGTCCGCCCTCACACCCTGCATTCACCACCCCCACCACAGCCCCCTACGGTTCACCACAGCCCCCTACGGCTCACCACAGCCCCCTACGGCTAACCACAGCCCCCTACCCCCCACCACAGCCCCCTACCACTCACCGCGCTCATGCCCTTGAGCAGGAACTGGCGCTTACTGTCCCTCACCCCCTCCTCGAAGTATGCCGCCTCTGCGTCGTAGCTGGCGGGCGGGCAATACAATCGAAGGGCAGCGGGGAAGTAGTTGAGGGGTAAACATACAGCAAGCCCTTCACTCCCCTCAAATATGACGAAGCCGGGAAGGAGGTGCGGCATGTCCCTCCCACACTCCCTCTTGCCGTGCGCTGCTCCTGCATCACAACTGCAGGAGACGGGACGCAGCGCAGGAGATGAGGGGGAAGAGAGCAGGGTCACCACTGGACTACCCCTCGCTCCCTCCACAAACCGCACAGCCCCCACGCTGTAACTAACTGGCACACAGGGGTTGTGGTGGAGGTTGGGAGGGGGGGGGAAGGGAAGGTAAGAGAATTGGGTTAAACAAAGGGCAGGGGGAGGGGAGGGGGGGGAGAGGGGAGGCAGCAGCAGAGGGGAGGTGAAGAGAGAGATAAGGAGGAAAAGGGAAGGGAGAAAGTGGGGGAACATGTGGCCGTGGTCGGATTCTGTACTGTCGGCACAGCCTGTGCCGTAACACACACCACTTTTCTCATGACTCACGTGGCCAGGGCTTCAGCTGCCAGCTGATTCGCCCTCGCACCAAAGTGCTCCGCCTCACTCCCCGCGTCCACTGCCGTCTGCAGTGCTTCCCACTCCTGGGAGGAGAGGAGGACGGGGGATACAAGGAGAGGGAGGAGCTTGAAGGACAGCCATTGCTGCCTTCTGCCAGTTCGAAGAGGGGCGCGATGAGGAGGAGGAGAGGGCGGGGAAGCAAGGCGGGAAGTCGAGAAGCATACAGTGCTGCGCTGCCTTCATCACAGAGGGCTTTGACGAAACGACTTGGGTTGGGGGGAGGACTTGGGGCGAGAACTTGGGGGGAGGACTTGGGGGGAGGACTTGGGGGGAGGACTTGGGGGGAGGACTTGGGGGGAGGACTTGGGGGGAGGACTTGGAGGGAGGACTTGGGGGGAGGACTTGGGGCGAGAACTTGGGGGGAGGACTTGGGGGGAGGACTTGGGAGGAGGACTTGGGGGGAGGACTTGGGGGGAGGACTTTGGGGGAGGACTTGGGGGGAGGACTTTGGGGGAGGAGGAGACAACTCTCCGCAGCACACAAGGGAGAGGAAAAAGAACGTGGAGCTAAAGATACCGGAGCAGTGCAGATGGCATGCATGCGCTGCGCTGCGCGCTCTGAAGACGCCGCGACACCGCATGCGTGGCGCGGATCAAAGCACGACGCGGACGGGCACACGGGGAGAAGTGATCTGGCTCACCTCGCTGTCCTGCTCACCTCGCTGTCTTGCAGTTGGGCGAGCTTCTCTGTGGCGATCTGCTCACAGCGCACCGTGGCCACCATGACCTGCAGGGGTGGCAGGGGTGGTGTCAGGGGGCACGGTGGTACCAACCAGAATGGTGAGAAGCAGGCTTGAGGAAGGGGTGCACAGCCGTGGAATGACACACACAACACAACACAACACAACACAACACAACACAACACAACACAACACAACCATACAATCATCCCTTGTGACCCGACAGGTCCACGTCCTTGTTCTCTCCTACCGGCGCCAGATCCCCGCCACATTCAAGCGCACCATCCAATCGCATGCGCGCGCACACAAGCCCATTGCCATGAAATCAGTGCCCCAGCCCGCCACGCTGTGACGCACCTTGTGCGCAGGCAGGTCGAGGTCCTTGTTCTCACGGATGATGCGCCACATCTCCGCCACGCTCAGGGGGAACCCCGACGCCGGCACCACGCCCCGCCGGTCCCCCGCCAGCTGCCCCTCCGCCACCGAGTCTTGAAACCGATCGCGCAGCCGCGCCACCTGCAAGAACAAGGGGGTGATGGGAAGGGGCTTGCAGGGCCAAGTGAGGACGGTTGAGTGGCCACCACGCCCCCGCAGCCCCTGCCAGCTGCCCCTCTGCTCCTAAGTCCTGGAAGCGGTCGCGCAAGCATGCCCCCTGAAAGGGTCGACATGGAGATTGCAGAATTCAAGTGACTGGAGGACTGGGCGGTTGGGGTGATTGGGTGATTGGGGAGATTCCAGCCCCGCCCGTCCCCTGCCACCTGCCCATCTGCCGAGTCCTAAAAACGGTGAGTTCTGCCCCTGGCTTTCCCTTAGGCTGATGAGCCCTCCGGAGCATGAACTCGGGAAAGGCACTCGGACGAGAAAGGCTTCTCAAGAACCGCATTGTCTGGAAGCCCTTGGGCGGCCACTGACCTGGGTCTTGAACTCCTCCTCTCTCTCCTCGAAGTTGGGCAGCGCTGTCACCTCCACCTGCTCTCCGCACCCACGCATGTCATTCGCACGCGCACATCCACACAAGGAGGAACGTACAAACACACACCCGCATGCATACCAGAAAACTGAACTGATTTACAACCAAAAAACTATTTAAAGAACTCTGAAACTGGTCTTGCCTTCCTTCATTGGCATGAGAAAGTAGATGAATGAAAACGAAAACGCAGGAGAGGTGGCGAGGGACAAAGGAAGAACGGGCGAGGTGGCGAGGGACAAAGGAAGAACGGGCGAGGTGGCGAGGGACAAAGGAAGAACGGGCGAGGTGGCGAGGGACAAAGGAAGAACGGGCGTTACGTTGAAGAAGTCCGCGAAGGGTGTGCTCTGGTGCTTCTGAGGCTTGGGCACGCTCTGCCAGATCTGCAGCCATGGGCGGGCCAACGATACAAGGCAGACGCGACAGGGGAGGAGGGAGACAGGATCGCACACATCATGAGCACACATCATGAGCACACATCATGAGCCCCAGTCACGCTGCAGGAGAAGACACGGACCACCTTGAAAACCAATGCACCAATGACCTACTCTCTACGAAAGAAGGGAATCATTCCAGGCAAAAGTAAGACAGATGCGACGTATTTCCAATGCCGTGAATTTGCAAGCCAACCATGCAGGGTAGTACCGATTAACTGCACTGCCATGCATGGTAGTACCGATTAACTGCACTGCCATGCACGACTTCTGTTCCCTAACAGCATCGTGAACCACTCTGGAGTACCCCCAGCGTGAACCAGGGAACCCACCTTGGGCCCACCTTACTTGGTACAGTTACACAGTAACCCTGTCATTCTCCACTCACATCCCCATCACATGCCTACTGGCTACCGCATACCATTTCATCGGTCACTCACACCTTAGACTGAGCCCTATGCCTATCTGGAGTCTCTTCCATACCTACACACGAAATGATCCCATGTTTTGAGCCGGCCAGGCCGGCCACCGTCCAGATGCAGCCCAGAGTTCCAAGGGAGCCAGCGTTGTTCCCTTGATCACGCTCCCAACCATCAAGCAACCCAATACTGCATGCTTTACCCCGAGCTAGACATGAGCAAATGGCGAGGCGAGTAAAACTTGCTTCGCCTTGAGGCTTTACTCGCCTTGTTTTCAGACGAGGCGAGCGAGTAATACTCAGTCGAGTAATTATGCCAAAAATCGCCCCTCGTTACTCCCCACTAATGGGCGAGTTATTTTTCACTCGGGGCGAGTAAAAGATACTCGCCACGAGGCGAGTGATACTCTACTCGCCATGCTACCTTCCCCCCCGTGTGCTCCCTCTATGTGGAGAAATACGATAGGGCAGCCTAGCGTATTGAGTATGTACGCTAGCGCCATACGCAATACCCTAACGTACCATAATTCCCCGGATATAACACCCCGTGGTATAAAATTCATGCAAAATCAGGGGGGTGGGTGCTCTATTTCGCGTTTAGGCTATAGCACCCTGGTGTTATATTTGAGGACAGAATTTTTAAGATGTGCATTAGACTCGGTGTGTCATGGCGATATCAGCCATCCAAGTTCCAGCTGAAAAGGCGTACGTTTTCTCGAGGTTCGGAAAAGCCCCAGATTGCCCACTTGCTCCCGAATTTCAGTGGTGTGTCAGGTTAGCGAAGCGAGATTGGGGGGTTGGCGACTCTCGCAATAGTCTGGACGAAAAATGCGATGCTCGTGAACCAAACTGAACAGGCATCTCGCACAAGGAAACGAAATTTGTCAGCCCACTGCGCTTTTCCAGGTGAAGATTTGCTGCACTTCTTCATTTTCAGTACCACAGAACCCCGCCAGGCGCCTCGGTAAAACACAACTTTCCTGTCCTGGTCGTAATCAGCATGAAAAAACTGTATTTGTTGCAGGTATTGCTAGGCGTAGCAGGGCTAAAATAGTAAGGGGGGGTGCTCTCCTGGAACCCTCAAAAAGAGGGTGTATAATTGCAGATTCTTCAATAGAACACCCTCCCCGGATATAACACCAATGGGTGCTTAATTTCAGCGGGTGTTATGTCCGGGGGATTACGGTATCTCTCGGCGGGCAGCCCGGCGAGAGATACGCTGTTAAAATTTCGCCAAATTGCGACTTGGCGACTCCAAGTGCACATTTCGCCAGGTCGCGGACTGAACATGGGTCTTTCAAATCGTCAAACCAGCCCCTCTCCTCCCTCCCAACCAAGGCGCAAAAAGGCGGCGTTTTTTTCAAAATTCTGTCGTTTTAAACGACATCGTAAGATTCCGTCGTTTAAAACGATAAAACGCGGTCAATGTGCCCTTTTTTGATGTGGTGCAAAAAAGAGATCGTTCTATACGATCGCTTTTTTTGTACCCAACAATTGTATACATATATCGCATATGTTGGCCGGGAAGCGGGCAAAGAAGATGGGCGGGTCCAAGAAGGGCAAAGAGAAGCGTGCAGCAGACTCGGATGAGGAGGAAGAAGCAGGGAGCTCTAGTGAGAGCAGGGGGGATGGATCCCACGATAGGCGCAAAGGGAGAGCACCATGGAAGCAGAGCGGGAGTGAGAGCGGGGAGGAGGATGACGAGGAGGAGGAGGATGAGTAGAAGTAGGAAGGGAGGGGGGGGGTAGGGGGGCGGAGGAAGGCAGGGGTAGGGAGCTTTGCTCCCGGGGAAAGTGGAGGAGGATTAGGAATAGTAGGGAGGGGGTGGTAGGGGCAGCGCGATAGGGGTAGGGAGCTCTACTCACCTCATTTACGGCGAATCTGTTGTCGCAGTCAGTGCAGTGTGCCTCAGGGATAGTGCCATGAGGTTTTTAGGCTGATTAGTAAAAAGTTTGAGACTAGAGTTTTCGAACAAAAAAACGGCGTTTTTTTCAAAAAAAAACCGTATAAAACGATCGTATTAAACGGCCCGTTTAAAACGATCATCGCTTTTTTGCGCCTTGCTCCCAACCGCCCTGCAACCCACCCAATCTAGAAATTCCAGCCACCACCAACCCAATCCCCCTCCTCCCCCCCTCCCAACCGCACTGCAACCCATCCAACCTAGAAATTCCAACCAACACCAACCCAATCCCCCTCCTCCCCCCCTTCCAACCGCACTGCATCCCACCCAACCCAACCCAATCTTCCTCCTCCCACTCTATTCTCCTAGAGACTAGCGCATTTCAGTTCGACGAATCCAGAGACAACGTAATCCGCACACTAGCTTGCGATCTAGTTTATTTGACATGAACTACCCACCCAGGAGCGGATCGCCCTTGTACAAATGACGCGAGCAAAAACTACTCGAGGCGAGCAGAGTTTACTCGTGAGTACACATTACTCGCCCAAAAAGGACGAGTGAAAAACGAGTAATTTTCACTCGGCAAGGCGAGGCGAGTAATACTCGCCGATAAAAATCGCAAAAAAAACCCCCTTGTTACTCGCCAAATCCGAGGCGAGTAGGCGAGGCGAGTTTTTAATCGCCTCGTTTGCTCATGTCTACCCCGAGCCGACCTTTCCTGACCAGCCCTACCCTGAGCCAGCCCCCTTACTACCCCCAGTCAGGCGCACCCTGAGCCAGGTGCACCCTGAGCCAGGCGCACCCTGAGCCAGGCGCACCCTGAGCCAGGCGCACCCTGAGCCAGGCGTACCTTTTCAATGTCCTCCCGTAGGATAGGCTCCAACGTCTCCATGGGGGTCTGCACAAGGAAGCAGCCGAGAGGGGGAACAAACCAAAGAGGTGGGAGGGTCGTGATGTGGTGGGTCGGACAGGCTGCAGCGCAAGTTGCTGTCACTCATTAGATGAGCTTGTTCTGACGCCCGATAGTGCTTTCTTACCATCTCCCACGGCATCGCATGGAGGCTCTAGACTTGCAAGCAAGTTTGCTCTTGTTTGCAAGAGCCCGCCTCAAGATACGCTAAGGCTAAGAAATTGAGCAGTTAGTTCTCGTCTGGTTGGAGGCAACGGCCCTGAATAGGGCTGAAGAACGGACCACGTTCCAAACACAACCCCTATCGCAATAATCGATGCCGCCAGACATGCTGCTGCCGCCCCGCCGTTTTGGACGCGTTGTTTTTGAAAACGACATACAATGATACAACGGGCTTTTGAGAAAACAGATGATTGTGTCGGTACAAAGTGGAACAGTACAGTGGCTTGCGTTTCCGGAATGATGCAAAACTCTACCCTTGGATAGAGTGAATGAATTGCCCCGCTGCGCTGGCTGGCTTGCTTGTTGAGGGGCCGAGGTGGGAGGCAGCGGGGTGCGAGCACACCACTCAGCGACTGACTGCTGCTATGGTAGGCCATGGGCCATGGCATGTGACGGCGGCTGGGACAGGGACGGCAGAAACCACACCAAACAGTCAAGGTAGCATCTGACCTTGGTCTTATCGCGAATGACGAAGAGCAGCGTTGCCTTGCGAGGCGTGAAGAGACGCATCATGACCTGTCACAGGGTAGTGCGCAGGGGAGACCGGGGGGAGGGGGTGGGGGGGGGAGGAAAGTGAAAATGGTGGGAGGGAGTGTGGGGGGGAGAGGGGGGATATGCCTTGTGGAGCCAGGCGCACAAGGAAAGAAGAGAGCAAAGCACCGCCATATAAACGAGCACATGAAAAGGGAGGGCAGGGAGGAAGCGCGGGCGCGGCGAAGGGAGGTGATGGTAGAATAGAGCAACCAGGCGAGTCCTCAAGAGGCGAGAGCGGACAGCAGCGGGCGAGCACGCACCTGAAAGACGGTCTTTAGCAGCGGCTTGTTGGATGCCTGCTCTCGACCAATGTCGTGGCACCACCTGGCATTACGGGGTCGCACAGGATAGCGTTACATAAGATAAGACGGTGCACCATAGGCAAAGAATGCCAGGCGCGACGCTCGCATGCATGCATTGGGTGGGTGGCAGTGGAGGTGAGGAGCGGCAGTAAGGCCTGACTGAGCGCCCATGGCGCCATGGTGAACCCAATCACGCTTGGTGGTGGATATGTGGGCCGACACACACGCAATGCAGCGAGAGATGCAAAATGGCAAAAGGCAGCAGCACGGACAGATGGACATGGCAGCACGCGATGAGAGGATAGGCAACCACGTGGCGAAGGGAAGGAAAGCTGTCGAATGGAACAGCACGATGAGAGCACAGGCTCCGCATGCAAGCGGGAGCGCAAAACGGCTGGAACAAGTAGAGCCACATGCACCTTGTCCGCATGACCATACACATCAGCTGTGGCCATGCACGTCAGTGCTAACAAGAGCTGTGAGAACCACATGAGCATACATGTTGACGATGATGACGTCAGCCACAGCGAGGGCGAAGAGGGAGCTCTGCTTCTCAAAGGTGGTGTCGTCCTGAATGGGGGGGGCACGGGCAAGGCGGACGAAGGGCGGGGGAAGGGTGGGGGAAGGGCGGGGGAAGGACGGGGGAAGAGCAGGGGAAGGGCGGGGGGAAGGATGGGCGGGGGGGAAGGGCAGGGCATGGCATGGGCAGGGCATGACAGGGAGCAGGGAGCATGGCGCGGGCAGGAGTGCGTGAAAGAAGGAGTGAAACGGGTGGGGTGGGGCCGCGACTAACCAGGCAAACTGGGAGTTATGCTTCTCACTCCCCGCCGTACGGAGCACAGTGGCAGGGAAGGGAGGAGCGGCACGTGCGGTTATGCGCATCAAAACCCCTCGCCATGCCAGGTACAGGATATTGGAAAGAGAGGAGGTGGGGGCGATAGAACCTCACACGTGCTTGCCGTATGCCGCTCCCCCTTTCTCTCCTCACCTCGCCTCGCCCCTCTCCCTGCTGTCTGCTGCCACCATAGTCGGCACCAGCATGAACGGCCGGATGCCCCTCGTCTCCCTTCCCCATCTTACCTCTCCCCATTCGCACTTGCCCCTGCCCTCTATACCGAGCAGTAGAGTGAACGCAATGCCTCTTGCCATTCAAGATTCCCCTCCCCTCCCAGTCTCACCTCGCCCCGCTCCCTGCTGTCCGTGCCCTCGATGTCCAGCACCAGCGTGAACGGCCGAATACCCCTCGCCTCCGCCGCCCAGATGCCCTGCGTTGTCTGCCGCCTGGGGCCATCCGCACGGCGCGGCAGCAAGTGGCAGAAGAGGGGAGAATGGATCATTCGGAGGTAGGGAATGAGGTGGAGAGGCGGGAGTCGGCACGGCGGGAAGAGTGGGGGGAGAGAGAGCAGGGGGCGGGGGGGAAAGGTGGGGATGAGCAGGAGGCAGAGAAAGACGGTGGGGGAACGTATCTTACCTACCCACGGAAGCACCTGTATGCATTTGAAAGAGCAGCCACTAAGGAATTTCTGCCTGCCCTAAACAGCAACTATGTATTTGTGAAGCATGCTGCAGTGCGTGGCCGTGAAAGCGCGTCCGGCGAATGGCATGGAGCAGCCGCACCTGCCCTTGAGCGCGTCCATCTCGTCGAAGGAGGTGTGGAAGAGGTGGTTCAGCAGCGTGCTCTTGCCTGCGCGCCGTGGGGACACGCAATCACACGTCCACACGTACCAACTGCATTAGTGCTTGGCAATTTTTTATAGGATTCCCAATTGGCTGTGTACCGGCCGCGGAGCCAAGCAGTGGAGGGCGGGAGGGGGAGTGCGGCAAGCCAAGGAGATCGTAAAAGCCATTGCGCCACGCGCCGTGCTCAGGTGCAGGCAGTCTGAGAATTCCTCCACTCTCACACGCCTCTCACACGCCTCTCACACGCCTCTTTTTGCGAGAGCCGTGGCACGCGGAGGTGTCCAGCCGAGTGGAGGAATTCTCCGCGCGAGTCCTCCTTCCAGTCCCCACGGGATTGCTCGCGCGTGCGAGAGGTCGAGCAGGGAGAGGCGTCATGGAGGTAGTCGTGGCGAAGCGAGTGAGGACCGTGCGATTACAAGGCCACACCCACGCGCGTACCGCTGCTCTGCGGCCCGACGATAGCGATCACAGCGTACGACAGCCCGCACTCCGTCATCCGCGTCGCACGCGCGAACCGCTCCAGCCCCTCACGATCGAATTCGCCCGTCCCCGAGACGAGCTGCATCCGCAGCCCCGCCTCGCCGTCCACCCCCATCGCCGCCACCCACGGCCTCCAGGGGCCCCCGCAGCTGAGTGAAGCGTCGCGCTCCAAATTCAGACAAGGAACACGAGAATCGACCCTGATCAAGCGGAAATCCGGAGAAGGCGCTCAGCTAGTTAGATCAGCTCGAGAGCGCGCTATCCAGAGTCCGCCATGCGAATTGCTTAGGCGCCGAACCCTTGTGAACGGGAAGGCGTAAAACAGGGAGGTGTGCAGGGAGGCTGTGAGATTGACTCTGACAGCAATCTGCATCAAGAAGAGACCCGGAGATTCCTCGATTTTGCTGTTGACGATTCCAGGACTACGAGCTGTCATAATACACTGAAAGTCGAATACTGTCAATCTATACAGAGCTGAGCTTTATTATCCTTACCTATGTTCAACTTGGAATATGTGGTGAGGTGACGGAACCTGATGCGTGCCAAACGACTTTATGCAAACCAATATCACAAAAATACAAACACCTGGCAACGAAGCAACATGTATCCTCAAACTGTATCACTCCACTATCTTGAGCTCTGACCACTTTCTGCTCGCTTCATTGCATCTGTCAACACAACACCTCCCCAGCTGTATGCTTCTCCCTGCCAAACCAGAGAGAGCAGGAAACATGGATTCGAAAAAACATTCAGTAGACACAACCCTCCTTCGCCTATTCAACTAACCTAACAACCCAGTCAAAGCTCGTGTTGCTGAAATGAATGTAGACAACAAAGATACAGAGGGATCAGCTGCAAATGACGAGGTCCATTACCATTGGCAGCCAAAAGCCTGTGCAATATCGTGCCCAGTGCAAACCAACGAGCTCCCATGAGGGGTTTGAGGCCACACTGCTGACAGTTGAAGGGAGCACAGTGCTATTGACAACGAAAATTATCCACCAGTGACACTACCAGGAGCATTGTCCCCTCACCAGTGAAGGCCACGAGCCCGTACGGATCCTTGCCCCCGTGCGAGTGAAAGCGCTGTCATACGGGGTCTGCGGCCGCGCTGCTGTCACCGCATCCCACTCCTCTCGAGTCAGCGGGTCCAGCCCTTCCTGCTCCTCAGCGAACCGGCGGGCTCGCCGTGCTATTCTGTCGGTCTCCTTGGACTCGTCGTACTGATGCAAACGCGGAAGCAGAGGTGTTGGTGAGAGGGGGGGGAGGAGCGAGGTGGCATGATAGAAGGCTCACTGTGCTATTCTCTCCCGTCTCCTTGGACTCGTCGTACAAATGCAGACACAGGGTCAGAGGAGTGGGGGGGAGTGTGGGGAGATGCGAAATGGGAGAATGAGGGTTGCCACACCATTGGTTTCATCTCGTGAGCCTCGTTTGACTGACACACTGCACGGATTGGGAGGAGAAGTTTCCAATCTGGGAGAAACAAAGCGGTGCGTCAACAGGCCACTTGCACGCAGAGATGGAAGCAATAGGCAGGAGGAGGAGAGGTAGAAAGAGGAAGAGCGAGCATCTGAACGTGCAGACCAGAGGTCGGAGCCAGCGAGAAACCAACGGGCTGCCCACAGCTCATCGCTACGACTAGGAACGGGGAGGGAAGTGCCAGGAAATACCACTACAGGGAGGACAGGCGGGGGGAACCTAATGCCAGGCTGCGGTGTGATTGTATGTTGCTGCACGCGGAAGATGTGATTGCGCATCCCGGCGCATTTCTCTAAACTCTACTACCAGCGTACTGTCGAAATCGACCTCACCGTCGTAACCACCATAGCCCCTCATCATTCCACTCACCATCACCCCTCTGCACCGACTCACCATCACCCCTCTGCACCGCACTCACCATCATCACCAGTTTCGCCAGCACCGACACCACCACCATGCCCACGCCTAGCTGCAACGTCGTCGGTCGCAGCTCCTGCGGCTGTCGCAACCGCGACGCTGCTGTGCGACGACCCATGCTGACTCGCAACGGTTCGCCTGCACGCTCGTCCCCTCGCACGTCTCCTCGCACAGTCTCTAGCACGACCCCCCACTTTCGTTCGATCGTTTATGCCTGGCCGCGCGTAGGTCAACACGAATCAGGTAACCTTTCGAGTCACGCGCCGGTCATAAGCCCTGTGCCGTTGGCATCCATGCGAGTGCGTTCTCTCGCTTCTATCGGGAAGCGCTGCTGGCGTGAATCACGGCGTGTGCCTGCCTCAGTCCGCGCCCTTGTAATATTGGCAAGGACGAGGGTGGGAGGTGGTGGTTTCTGTTAGCACAAACTTATGGCGCAGAAATCGCGGTGTAGTAAACTTCAGATCTCTGATCGCAACGGATCACTGTAACTTCGAGTACAAAAGTGCAACTCCGAATCGAACTTTCAAATTGTGCGATGCGGCGGATACACCCACGCGAACCCCATTTCGCCTCCTCCTCCCCACTTAGCTCCTCCCTGAAGCGTCTGGCTCACGACCAAGTCAGTTGAAGTCGAGGGCTCACATGATAGACCGAGCGCGATATACGTGTATCAGCTTATCCTGGTCAGTTTCGGTTTAGCTAGAGTGGTGGTGAAGCCAGCTAGAGACGAGCGCCGGGTACATGATCAGACTACCAGGAGCCAGCGAAAAGGGCGTCACAGCGATTCGCGTGCTTTTCTTATCCGTGCCATTTACCAAGTGACCACGCCTTAGTCAATGTCTCGAATGTACAGCGTCTAAGCTGGTCGCTAGATCCGTGACATCGCTGTCGTCAGCGAAAGATGCCTGGCGAAACGCTGACCGAAACGCGTCCAAGAATGGAAGGCCTGTTGCACAGTAGCGTGACGAGTCACCGTGCTTCTGACGATGGCCCCTCGGGCCTCGCTGTCGGTGGCCCGCGCGAACCAAGTATAATCATCGGGGAAGACGCAAGCCCAGCAAGTGCAGCAGACAGCCCAGCGCCAACGGGGGGTGGTCCAGCTACGGACGCTGCAGCAGCAGCAGCAGCAGCAACCGACGTTGGCTTGGCGGGGGAGTCATCTGGGCGGCGCGTCGAGAGCCCAGGAGTGGGAATCGGCGGCTGGTGGGGCAGACGAGCCGCGGATAGCGACACTGGGGGGAAACGCGCGGGAGAAGAGTCGGACGACTCGTCGGAAGAGGGGGATTGGGACGGCTGGAGAGGCGAGAAGGAGGCGACAGATGGCGACAAGGCAGCGGTGGATGGCGAAGTGGAGACGAAAGATGGCAAAGAAGCAGCGAAAGATAGAGGAAACGCGGGCAAAGGTGGCGAACAAGCGGCAGGTGGCGAAAAGCCGGCGACCGATGGCGACGGGGCTGCGACAGATGGCGCGGAGAGGGAGCGAGCGACGGGCGGCGGTGCTGCGGCGAGGCGACCGAGGAAAACGGCGGAGGCAGCCGCAGCCGCTATGGCGCGAAAGGTGCGGCGATGCTGCGAAAGGTGAGGCGCTTACGTGCAAAGCGGCTATATTAGGCGCAAACTTTCTTTCCAGCAGGCTGCTTCGTCTCAGATGGCTGCCTCGCGAGGCAGCGGCGCGTTGGGTGGCTCCTGCCAGTGGCTCTGCCAGTGGCTCTGCCAGTGGCTCTGCCAGTGGCTCTGCCAGTGGCTCTGCCAGTGGCTCTGCCAGTGGCTCTGCCAGTGGCTCTGCCAGTGGCTCTGCCAGTGGCTTGCAGTGGCTCTGCCAGTGGCTCTGCCAGTGGCTCTGCCAGTGGCTCTGCCAGTGGCTCTGCCAGTGGCTCTGCCAGTGGCTCTGCCAGTGGCTCTGCCAGTGGCTCTGCCAGTGGCTCTGCCAGTGGCTCTGCCAGTGGCTCTGCCAGTGGCTCTGCCAGTGGCTCTGCCAGTGGCTCTGCCAGTGGCTCTGCCAGTGGCTCTGCCAGTGGCTCTGCCAGTGGCTCTGCCAGTGGCTCTGCCAGTGGCTCTGCAGTGGCTCTGCCAGTGGCTCTGCAGTGGCTCTGCCAGTGGCTCTGCAGTGGCTCTGCCAGTGGCTCTGCCAGTGGGCTCTGCCAGTGGCTCTGCCAGTGGCTCTGCCAGTGGCTCTGCAGTGCTCTGCCAGTGGCTCTGCCAGTGGCTCTGCCAGTGGCTCTGCCAGTGGCTCTGCCCAGTGGCTCTGCCAGTGGCTCTGCCAGTGGCTCTGCCAGTGGCTCTGCCAGTGGCTCTGCCAGTGGCTCTGCCAGTGGCTCTGCCAGTGGCTCTGCCAGTGGCTCTGCCAGTGGCTCTGCCAGTGGCTCTGCCAGTGGCTCTGCCAGTGGCTCTGCCAGTGGCTCTGCCAGTGGCTCTGCCAGTGGCTTCTGCCAGTGGCTCTGCCAGTGGCTCCTGCCAGTGGCTCTGCCAGTGGCTCTGCCAGTGGCTCTGCCAGTGGCTCTGCCAGTGGCTCTGCCAGTGCGCGTCTCTGCCAGTGGCTCCTGCCAGTGGCTCTGCCAGTGGCTCTGCCAGTGGCTCTGCCAGTGGCTCTGCCAGTGGCTCTGCCAGTGGCTCTGCCAGTGGGCTCTGCCAGTGGCTCTGCCAGTTGGCTCTGCCAGTGGCTCGGTGGCTGGCCAGTGGCTCTGCCAGTGGCTCCTGCCAGTGGCTCTGCCAGTGGCTCTGCCAGTGGCTCTGCCAGGCTCTGCCAGTGGCTCTGCCAGTGGCTCTGCCAGTGGCTCTGCCAGGTGGGCTCTGCCAGTGGCTCTGCCCAGTGGCTCTGCCAGTGGCTCCTGCCCAGTGGCTCTGCCAGTGGCTCTGCCAGTGGCTCTGCCAGTGGCCTGCCAGTGGCCCCCCCCCTCCCCCTCTGCCCAGTGCTCTGCCAGTGGCTCTGCCAGTGCCGCTCTCGCCAGTGGCTCTTGCCAGTGGCTCTGCCAGTGGCTCTGCCAGTGGCTCTGCCAGTGGCTCTGCCAGTGGCTCTGCCAGTGGCTGGTGGCTCTGCCAGTGGCTCTGCCTCTGCCAGTGGCTCTGCCAGTGGCTCTGCCAGTGGCTCCTCCGCCAGTGGCTCTGCCAGTGGCTCTGCCAGTGGCTCTGCCAGTGGCTCTGCCAGTGGCTCTGCCAGTGGGCTCTGCCAGTGGCTCTGCCAGTGGCTCTGCCAGTGGCTCCCCTCTGCCAGTGGCTCTGCCAGTGGCTCTGCCACCTGCCAGTGGCTCTGCCAGTGGCTCTGCCAGTGGCTCTCTGCTCTGCCAGTGGCTGGGGCCTGCCGTGGCTGGGGGAGTGGCTCGTGGCCAGTGGCTCTGCCAGTGGCCTGCAGTGGCTCTGCCAGTGGCTCTGCCAGTGGCTCTGCCAGTGGCTCTGCCAGTGGCTCTGCCAGTGGCTCTGCCAGTGGCTCTGCCAGTGGCTCTGCCAGTGGCTCTGCCAGTGGCTCTGCCAGTGGCTCTGCCAGTGGCTCTGCCAGTGGCTCTGCCAGTGGCTCTGCCAGTGGCTCTGCCAGTGGCTCTGCCAGTGGCTCTGCCAGTGGCTCTGCCAGTGGCTCTGCCAGTGGCTCTGCCAGTGGCTCTGCCAGTGGCTCTGCCAGTGGCTCTGCCAGTGGCTCTGCGGGGGGCAGTGGCTCTGCAGTGGCTCTGCCAGTGGCTCTGCCAGTGGCTCTGCCAGTGGCTCTGCCAGTGGCTCTGCCAGTGGCTCTGCCAGTGGCTCTGCCAGTGGCTCTGCCAGTGGCTCTGCCAGTGGCTCTGCCAGTGGCTCTGCCAGTGCTCTGCCAGTGGCTCTGCCAGTGGCTCTGCCAGTGGCTCTGCCAGTGGCTCTGCCAGTGGCTCTGCCAGTGGCTCTGCCAGTGGCTCTGCCAGTGGCTCTGCCAGTGGCTCTGCCAGTGGCTCTGCCAGTGGCTCTGCCAGTGGCTCTGCCAGTGGCTCTGCCAGTGGCTCTGCCAGTGGCTCTGCCAGTGGCTCTGCCAGTGGCTCTGCCAGTGGCTCTGCCAGTGGCTCCTGCCAGTGGCTCTGCCAGTGGCTCCTGCCAGTGGCTCTGCCAGTGGCTCTGCCAGTGGCTCTGCCAGTGGCTCTGCCAGTGGCTCTGCCAGTGGCTCTGCCAGTGGCTCTGCCAGTGGCTCTGCCAGTGGCTCTGCCAGTGGCTCCTGCCAGTGGCTCTGCCAGTGGCTCTGCCAGTGGCTCTGCCAGTGGCTCTGCCAGTGGCTCCTGCCAGTGGCTCTGCCAGTGGCTCTGCCAGTGGCTCTGCCAGTGGCTCTGCCAGTGGCTCTGCCAGTGGCTCTGCCAGTGGCTCTGCCAGTGGCTCTGCCAGTGGCTCTGCCAGTGGCTCCTGCCAGTGGCTCTGCCAGTGGCTCTGCCAGTGGCTCTGCCAGTGGCTCTGCCAGTGGCTCTGCCAGTGGCTCTGCCAGTGGCTCTGCCAGTGGCTCTGCCAGTGGCTCTGCCAGTGGCTCTGCCAGTGGCTCTGCCAGTGGCTCTGCCAGTGGCTCTGCCAGTGGCTCTGCCAGTGGCTCTGCCAGTGGCTCCTGCCAGTGGCTCTGCCAGTGGCTCTGCAGTGGCTCTGCCAGTGGCTCTGCCAGTGGCTCTGCCAGTGGCTCTGCCAGTGGCTCTGCCAGTGGCTCTGCCAGTGGCTCTGCCAGTGGCTCTGCCAGTGGCTCTGGCCAGTGGCTCTGCCAGTGGCTCTGCCAGTGGGCCTTCTGCCAGTGGCTCTGCCAGTGGCTCTGCCAGTGGCTCCTGCTCTGCCAGTGGCTCTGCCAGTGGCTCTGCCAGTGGCTCTGCCAGTGGCTCTGCCAGTGGCTCTGCCAGTGGCTCCTGCCAGTGGCTCTGCCAGTGGCTCTGCCAGTGGCTCTGCCAGTGGCTTCCTGCCAGTGGCTCTGCCAGTGGCTCTGCCAGTGGCTCTGCCAGTGGCTCTGCCAGTGGCTCTGCCAGTGGCTCTGCCAGTGGCTCTGCAGGCTCTGCCAGTGGTCTGCAGTGGCTCTGCCAGTGGCTCTGCCAGTGGCTCCTGCTTGCCAGTGGCTCTGCCAGTGGCTCTGCCAGTGGCTCTGCCAGTGGCCTGCCAGTGGCTCTGCCAGTGGCTCTGCCAGTGGCTCCCAGTGGCCGCCGTGGCTCTGCCAGTGGCTCTATGTCTGCCAGTGGCTCTGCCAGTGGCTCTGCCAGTGGCTCTGCCAGTGGCTCTGCAGTGGCTCCCATGGCTCTGCCAGTGGCTCTGCCAGTGGCTCTGCAGGGCCGCAGTGGCTCTGCCAGTGGCTCTGCCAGTGGCTCTGCAGTGGCTCTGCCAGTGGCTCCTGCCAGTGGCGCCCTCTGCCAGTGGCTCTGCCAGTGGCTCTGCCAGTGGCTCTGCCAGTGGCTCTGCCAGTGGCTCTGCCAGTGGCTCTGCCAGTGGCTCTGCCAGTGGCTCTGCCTCTGCCAGTGGCTCCTGCCAGTGGCTCTGCCAGTGGCTCTGCCAGTGGCTCTGCCAGTGGCTCTGCCAGTGGCTCTGCCAGTGGCTCCTGCCAGTGGCTCTGCCAGTGGCTCTGCCAGTGGCTCTGCCAGTGGCTCTGCCAGTGGCTCTGCAGTGTTGCAGTGGCTCTGCCAGTGGCTCTGCCAGTGGCTCTGCCAGTGGCTCTGCCAGTGGCTCTGCCAGTGGGCTCTGCCAGTGGCTCTGCCAGTGGCTCCTGCCAGTGGCTTGCCAGTGGCTCTGCCAGTGGCTCTGCCAGTGGCTCTGCCAGTGGCTCTGCAGTGGGCGTGGCTCTGCCAGTGGCTCTGCAGTGGCTCTGCCAGTGGCTCTGCCAGTGGCTCTGCCAGTGGCTCTGCCAGTGGCTCCTGCCAGTGGCTCTGCCAGTGGCTCTGCCAGTGGCTCTGCCAGTGGCTCTGCCAGTGGCTCTGCCAGTGGCTCTGCCAGTGGCTCTGCCAGTGGCTCTGCCAGTGGCTCTGCCAGTGGCTCCTGCCAGTGGCTCTGCCAGTGGCTCTGCCAGTGGCTTGCAGTGGCTCTGCCAGTGGCTCTGCCAGTGGCTCTGCCAGTGGCTCTGCCAGTGGCTCTGCCAGTGGCTCTGCCAGTGGCTCTGCCAGTGGCTCTGCCAGTGGCTCCTGCCAGTGGCTCTGCCAGTGGCTCTGCCAGTGGCTCTGCCAGTGGCTCTGCCAGTGGCTCTGCCAGTGGCTCTGCCAGTGGCTCTGCCAGTGGCTCTGCCAGTGGCTCTGCCAGTGGCCTGCAGTGGCTCTGCCAGTGGCTCTGCCAGTGGCTCTGCCAGTGGCTCTGCCAGTGGCTCTGCCAGTGGCTCTGCCAGTGGCTCTGCCAGTGGCTCTGCCAGTGGCTCTGCCAGTGGCTCTGCCAGTGGCTCTGCCAGTGGCTCTGCCAGTGGCTCTGCCAGTGGCTCTGCCAGTGGCTCTGCCAGTGGCTCTGCCAGTGGCTCTGCCAGTGGCCCCTGCCAGTGGCTCTGCCAGTGGCTCTGCCAGTGGCTCTGCCAGTGGCTCTGCCAGTGGCTCTGCCAGTGGCTCTGCCAGTGGCTCTGCAGTGGCTCTGCCAGTGGCTCCTGCCAGTGGCTCTGCCAGTGGCTCTGCCAGTGGCTCTGCCAGTGGCTCGCAGTGGCTTGGGGCCTGCCAGTGGCTCTGCCAGTGGCTCTGCCAGTGGCTCTGCCAGTGGCTCTGCCAGTGGCTCCTGCCAGTGGCTCTGCCAGTGGCTCTGCCAGTGGCTCCTGCCAGTGGCTCTGCCAGTGGCTCTGCCAGTGGCTCTGCCAGTGGCTCTGCCAGTGGCTCTGCCAGTGGCTCCTGCCAGTGGCTCTGCCAGTGGCTCTGCCAGTGGCTCTGCCAGTGGCTCTGCCAGTGGCTCTGCCAGTGGCTCTGCCAGTGGCTCTGCCAGTGGCTCTGCCAGTGGCTCTGCCAGTGGCTCTGCCAGTGGCTCCTGCCAGTGGCTCTGCCAGTGGCTCTGCCAGTGGCTCTGCCAGTGGCTCTGCCAGTGGGCTCTGCCAGTGGCTCTGCCAGTGGGCTGCTCTGCCAGTGGCTCTGCCAGTGGCTCTGCCAGTGGCTCTGCCAGTGGCTCTGCCAGTGGCTCTGCCAGTGGGCGTGGCTCTGCCAGTGGCTCTGCCAGTGGGCTCTGCCAGTGGCTCTGCCATGCCCAGTGGCTCTGCCAGTGGCTCTGCCAGTGGCTCTGCCAGTGGCTCTGCGTGCCAGTGGCTCTGCCAGTGGCTCTGCCAGTGGCTCTGCCAGTGGCTCCTGCCAGTGGCTCTGCCAGTGGCTCTGCCAGTGGCTCTGCCAGTGGCTCTGCCAGTGGCTCTGCCAGTGGCTCTGCCAGTGGCTCTGCCTGCCAGTGGCTCTGCCAGTGGCTCTGCCAGTGGCTCTGCCAGTGGCTCTGCCAGTGGCTCTGCCAGTGGCTCTGCCAGTGGCTCTGCCAGTGGCTCTGCCAGTGGCTCTGCCAGTGGCTCTCAGCTCTTGCTTCGTCAAGCCTTGAGGCCGTCGCTCCTGATGGACGGACAATCGTCCTCGCCCTGCTCACGGCTCTTGCTCTCCTCTGCCATTCTGTGTCGCAGGAGGATCGCCAGCGTCGCAGGGAAGCAGCTGACCTCCTGGCGACGTCTCAACGACTGCTTCGCGGTGAGAGAGAGAAGAACCTCCCGCGAGCACGCACGCGCACATGCACACGCAGAGGGAGGGGGAGAGTCGGGAAGAGAGGGAGGGATGGGGAGGGAGGGACAGGAAGAGAAGATATGGATGTGATGAGGAGCATGGGGCGTGGGCACGAGGATTGCGAGTCAAAGGGGCGTCTATCGACTGATCAGCTGAGTGCGACCCAGACGAAGAGGGATGAGGAAAATTGCGGACGAAGTTAGTGAATGCGGTGAGCCGGGAACGAGGATTGCACGAGGAGGATTTTTCGGACCATGGGCTGCCCTGGGAAGCTTGTTGGCCTACATCCGGCCGCGCGCACTCAACGTGGAACGAGTGACGCAGTGTGAGGGCCGTCTGACATGACAATGTAACCCACGTATGGCATGCCGCGTTGGCACTCCATCCCTGTGTTCCCTTTCACTTATCCCCTGCAGCTCCTCGCACCCATCCCCCTGCAGGTCGATCCCTACCAAACCATGCACAGGCGATAGTGTGAGGAGTTCTCACGACCGCCACTGGCAGCTGTAGCCCAGTTGAGATGTGCGCCGCGTTGAACCGCGTTCCACGCGGTCGTCTCCCTGCCACCCCCTTGCACCAGAGCGCAATGCCAATCTCTCGCGCCCACCACCACCGCCAGCCCAGTCTCGACTCACCAACCATGCAATCCCCTTCCGCCCACCCCCTGCGCCTCTCCCACCAGAGAGCAGCGTGAAGTTCGTGCGCCCGCCGCTGGCCGCCATCTCGCTGGACGGCTTCTTCAGCGCCATGCGCTGCCGCATGGCCGCCGTCGACGCCCGCATGCCGCGGTGAGTACTGTTCTGCCCCCTTCCTCTGTAACCGCCCCCCCTTTCCCCTGCACACGCATTGACTGCCGTCTGCCCCTGCGAGTCCCTCCTGCCATTGCGGCTTTGTGTTGGAGGCACTTGAGAGCACGCACAGTCGCCTGGCGGATGCTCTCGACCGTGTGCTGCCATGAGCGTATGGGGGGAACGCCATGGCACGGCGTGCATGGCATTGGATGGAATGTCATGAGGGTGGCATGGTTTGGCATGGCATGGCATGGGATGGGATGGTATGGGGATAGCATGGCGTGGATGCGCTTCGTGGCATGCGTCCCATGCGAAATTCAGTAGACAGTGTTTTGTGCGCGCCAACTCTCTCTCTCTCTCCTGTCGTGTGGCAGAGGCACTGAGGGAGAGCACCCCGACGACGAGGAGGAGGAAGAGGATGATGACGTGGAGGGAGAGGAGGAGGAGGAGGAGCAGGAGGAGGAGGGAGAGGAGGATGCAAGAGGTGGGGTGGAGGAGGATCAAAAGCCCACGGTACAGATGAACGGCGGCGGAGAGGGGAACGACGGGGGACGCAGCGGCGCCACGGCTGTGTCGAGCGGTGTAATCGCGGCCATCCTGCAGCGCCTGGCACAGGAGGAGGAAGAGGACGATGAGGGGGCCGACCTCGTCGTGCTCGAAAGCTCCCCGCCTGCTGCTGCTGCTGCTGCTGCACGTAGTGCTGCTGCTGCACGTGGTGCTGTGGCACGGGCAGCAGGAGGGGGACAAGGAAACAGTGTGGGCAAGAAGGAAGGGGAGAACACCGCAAAGAAGGACAGGGAGGATGAGGCGGATGAGCTGGTACCGCCTGAAGACTGCCCGCCTGCTGCTGCTGCTGCTGCTGGCGCTGCTGCTGCTGGCGCTGCTGCTGCTGGCGCTGCTGCTGCTGGCGCTGCCGCTGGTGGCGCTCCAGTAGCCGGAATAGGAGGTGGTGGCACGGCAGGAGGAAGGAGTGGGGAGAGGCACGAAAGAGAGGAAGGTCGGGCAGCGGAGGAGGGGAAGGAGGGAGGAGAGGTGGGAGGCGCGGATGCAGGAAGGAACGGCACGAGGGCACGACGGCACATGCGCATGAGCCTTGGTGGGGACGAGACGGGAGACGAGGAGAAATGGGAGCAGGGGGAGCAGGGGGAGCAGGGGGAGAAGGGCCCAGCGACGAAACATGACATAAGTGAGGGCAAAGGTGGGAACGAGCCTGGGAGGGACGAGCCCTCGCGAGCACAAGGGAGAGAGCGGGCGAGGAGTGTGGCAACGGCAGCAAATTGGTGTGCTGATGACGCCAAGGGGGAGAAGATGTGGAGGTGCGCGCTTGAGAAAGGGGCGGAGGGCCCAGGCGAGAGAGGGGCAGCGGAAGCAGAGGAGAAACGAGATAGGGGCACAGATAGGGGGAGGCAAGGGGCCACGGTGGGGGGGAAGCAAGGGGGCGCAGAGGGGGAAAAGGGGGGAGCAGAGGCGGGGAAGCAGGGGGGCGCGGTGAAGTGGTGGGTGGCAGGGCGCAAGGCGGCAGCAGTGGGGCCCAAGTCGCTGAGTCAATGGGCCAAGGGGCGAGGGGCAGGTGGTGCTGCCGCTGCTGCTGCCGCTACTGCTGCTGCTGCTGCTGCTGGTGTTGGTGCTGCTGAGTGTGGCGTTGTTGCTTATGTTGGTGCTGCTGGCGCTGCAGTTGCTGCTGCTGATGGTGGTGGGGGTGCTGTTGCTGGTGCTGGCGCTGCTGATAGTGATGTTGGTGGTAATGCTGCTGCTAATGGTGGTGTTGGTGCTGCTGCTGCTGCTGCTGCTGAAGGCGGCGTCGATGGGGAGCGAATCGGGGTGAGAGCCAAGGCAACGAGTGAGCTTAGAGAATCTGGGCGGAGGTTCATTGACGATGCTGCTATGGAGGATGATGGGGAGGAGGAAGGAGAGGCCGGGGAGGAGGGGGGAGGTGAGGGGAGGGGTGGAGAATCAAGGGAGAAAAGGCATGATGCGGATTGGGATCGGATGGATGTAGAGGATCTTGGGGAGGATGACACCGAGGAAGAGAGTGACGATAGCGAAGATGCCTGTAACAAGGATAATGCGGAGGAGGAAAGAGGCCAGGGAAGGAAAAGGGAGACGGAGAAAGGGGAGGGGGAGGCAGAGGAAGAAGAGGAGGAGAAAGAGGCAGAGGACGATGAGCAAGTGGAGGAGGAAGGCTCGGATGCCGAGTTGGAGAGGGCAGCGCTGCACAGGCAGTGGGAGGAGCAGGAGGACGAGTGGGTGGAGGGGGCGGTGATGGGGGGGGTGCAGGGGGGCTGGGCGCATGTGCGGATGGGGAGGCGGGGCAAGGGAGGGGAGGGAATTGGGGGGAGAGGAGTGGCCCTGATGGGGGACGCGGATGAGGAGGACGAGGGGGGGGAGGACGAAGGGGGGGAGGACGAAGGGGGGGAGGACGAAGGGGGGGAGGAGGAAGGGGGGGAGGAGGAAGGGGGGGAGGAGGTGGGAGGGATTGGGAAGGGGGGAGTGAGGAAGAGGAAGAGTGGAGTGAGTGGGAGAGGAGAGCGAGGGAATGCAGAGGGAGGAGGCGGTGGGGAGTGGGGATTGCTGGCAAAGAAAGTGAGACTGCTGAAGGAGAGGGTGGGGGGAACAGGGGTGAAGGAAGGTGGAGAGTGGAAGGGAGAGGAGCACGACGGTGATTCATGTGACTCCACTGGAAGTGCTTATAGCGGGGATGCTGATGCTGATGCCAAGCGTGCAGAGGGAAATAGCAAAGGCGACGGAGAGAGTGCGGATGATGGCAGTGACGACAGCGATGATGGTGATGATGGCAGTGGCAGCGATGGTGAGGGCGCTGAGACAGGCGGGGACATGGCGTCGGCGCGCCACCTGGTGGAGCAGATGCGAGCCAAGAGGCGCGTGGAGGAGATGGTGAGTGGTGGGGGACTTGGTGAGTGGTGGGGGACTTGGTGAGGAGCAGCAGGAAACGAAGAGGCTGAGCTGACTCAAGGGGCGGCACGATGCTGCGTCTGCCCTCTCCCTTCCTTACAGCACCCTGCTCCCACCCTCTTGCCCCCTCTCAACACCACCAGGAGGTGCGGGAGACAGTGTTGAGGCAGTGGAGGCAGCAGTCCCACTCCTTCGTTCCTCCCCGTTCCCCACCCCCCCCCTCTCCTTTGTCCAGCAGCACAAGGAGGTGCGAGATGGAGAGTTGGGGCACATGTCCATTCGTGTCCATTCGTGTCCCCTTCGTTCCTCTCCGCCCATACCCTCCTCTTTCAACCCCACACCCCAACCTCTTCTCTTCTCACTTCTCCCTTCATCCCCCCCCCCCCCCCCCCTTGGCAGCATCACAAGGAGGTGCGGGACGTGGTGCTGGGGCGGTGGAAGCAGCAGTCGCATCGCAACATCACTGTCGTCAGAGGCGCCGCTCTGCCCTCCCTACAGTCACGGTTTCCCTCAGTGCAGTCACACGGGCCCAGCTCACACCCGCATGGCCCCCGCTTACAAGCACACCGCCCTTCAGTCAACACCTCTCAGACCCATTTCCACCGCCCCGCACCTGCACCAGTTGCCACCTCCCTTTGGGGCCAACCCTCTCCCTCCATTCCTGTAAGTTTCCTGCTCGCTGCCCCTTCCATCCTTTGCTGCCCCTTCCATCCTTCGCTGCCCCTTCCATCCTTCGCTGCCCCTTCCATCCTTCGCTGCCCCTTCCATCCTTCGCTGCCCCTTCCATCCTTCGCTGCCCCTTCCATCCTTCGCTGCGCCTTCCATCCTTCGCTGCCCCTTCCATCCTTCGCTGCCCATTCCATCCTTCGCTGCCCCTTCCATCCGTGGCTGCGCCTTCCATCCTTCGCTGCACCTTCCATCCTTCGCTGCCCCTTCCTTCCATCCTTCGCTGCCCATTCCGTCCTTCGCTGCCCCTTCCATCCTTCGCTGCCCCTTCCATCCTTCGCTGCCCCTTCCATCCTTCGCTGCCCCTTCCATCCTTCACTGCCCCTTCCATCCTTCGCTGCCCCTTCCATCCGTCGCTGCGCCTTCCATCCTTCGCTGCGCCTTCCATCCTTCGCTGCCCATTCCATCCTTCGCTGCGCCTTCCATCCTTCTCTGTGCCTTCCATCCGCCGCTGCGCCTTCCATTTTGTTGATCGCACTCATTGCTTTCTCCGTTCCATTTTGTTGATCCCACTCATTGCTTTCTGCTGCCCTTGTCTCTCTTCCTTCCATCAATCGCTGCACCTCTCCATTCCGACTCTCCTCGAAAATTCCCCTGTGGCAGGCACCGCCCTTTGGCATGCGTGCCTCCTCTCTTCTCGGGCAGCTTTCCAAGCTGCCCAAGGACTTCAATTTCACCACGGGCAGCTCTGGAAGGACTGGGCAGGCTGGGCCTTCTCGGGCGTACATTTTCAAGACGAAGGATGCACCCGAAAAGGAGCAGGAACTGTAGAGCGATTAAGAACGGGGAGCGCTGTGAAAGTGTGCATTGGGAGTGGATTGGCAGAGCTGAAAGCCACGCGCTATGGTGGAAGTTCATTGCTCAGGAGCACGAGCAGCAGTGCTGCTGTGGTAGCTGATGATTGGTGCAGTTGCAGCAGTTAAGACACCCTCAAACCCAGGCCCATGGGCAGCAGCAGCAGCAGCACTAGCACTGGCAGTACCACATTAGGAAAATGGCACATGCCATGCCTCGCCATGCCATGCCAGCTATGAGCGAATTATTCTAGCACCTGCGTGTTGGAAATTATAAAAGGAGTTGAGCCCATTCCAGGAGTCTCGCGTGCTGTAACAATACGCGAAGTCCACAACATCGAGGACCAACGAGTCAAACCTTGCTACAGCACCTCCGACGGTTGACGCGGGTTGACACCTAGAAGAGGTTAGGAAAGGGCAATGGTCGCAGACCGTTGATCCTGTTATGAATTAATCAGAGTAATAACAGGTAGTGTAATAAACGAGTCGTGATTCAAGAGTGTCAATACAAATGAGGGCCTGGGCATTTATACGCACAAACAGAGCTAGCCGAGAACCATGCGAACAGGTTGGGGCGGTCCGGTTGGCGAAAGCCATGGAAGCGCTGCGCGTCTAGGTTTGGGTTCGCGAAATGGTTTGGGACCGAAGAAGTTGGCCGAGCCTGGACTTCCGAGAGTCTAGGGCATACGCACTGTAGTCGAGCCTAGTAAGGAAAAGGGAATTTCCTTACACCACCCCCCCTTCCGGGATAAGACTACCCACATCTGGGACACCTCGTCGGTGTAAATAGTCCGGGACGACTTTGTGTTCGCCAAGCATAGCTGCGGCCACAATACTGCTCCCATGCCCATGCCCATGCTGCACTTTGTGACACAATACTGCTCCCATGCCCATGCTGCTCCAGTCAGTGTACAACGTGAACGGTAAGTTTCTCCTTGGCAGCTGTAGTACCGTTCCAGCTTTAATGGCCTCTAGTAGGTCCCTTCTTGCCTGTTCCTCCTCTGGTCCCCACTTCCAGGCTTGCCCTTCCCTCAGCAGTTGGTTCAGCCGGTGAGCTCTCTTGCTGAAATTGGGGATGAAGCGTCGGTAGTAGTTTAGAAACCCCAGGAGTGCCCTCAGTGCTCCCTTGTCCTTCAGTGCCCCCAGCTTGTCAAGCACTGCCACCTTTGCCTCCTGTATGCCCATCTTTCCTCCTCGGACTTCAAATCCCAGGTAAGTAATTGTCCTCCTAGCTATCTTGCACTTCTCCGGATGACAGGTTAGTCCCACTGCTGCTATCGCGTCCAGCGTTGCTCTCAGATGCTCCGCATGCTCCTCCTCCGTCTTGCTGTAGATCACCACGTCATCAATGTAGCACGCTGCTGATGGGACCGTCTTCAGTACCTGATCCATGACTCGCTGGAACACGGCTGAGGCATTCCTCAGTCCGAATAGCATTACATTCCACTCGTACAGGCCATCCACGCCATGGAAGGCGGTCTTGCATTTGTCTTCTTCCTGAATGACTATCTGATTGAACCCCTGCCGCATGTCCAGTGTTGAAAAGATGACCGCTCCTTCCAGCCTGTCGAAGATCTCCTCTGCCGTGGGCACGCTGTAACGATCTGCTTTTGTTATACGGTTTAACTCCCGGTAGTCACCGCACATTCTCCTGGCCAGTACTTCTCCAGTCAAGTCCGTCCTCGCTGCTACCACCGTAGCCGCTGCGTATGCCGAGTTTGACGGTCGTATCAGTCCTGCATCTAGCAGCTCTCTGCACTTGCCGCGACAAATCTCTTCGTCTCCCGGGCTCATCCGCCGCCTCCTTTGGTAAATGGGCCCCGTGGTGTCCAGAGGTAGCTCAAGCTCGTGCAGCTTGCACTTCCCCAATTCTTGCAGGGTGTATGCGAAGGTCTTCCGATGCTCTGCTAACACTTGCTGTATCTCTGCCGCCACCTTGCTGTCCAGTTCCGAGCTCACCTCCCATTGTCTCTGGCCTTCCTTTTCTGTCTTCTCTTCCTTCTTTGTGTCTTCGTCTTCTTCCTGCTTTTCTTCTTGTGTCAGGTATGCTCGGCTGGCCTTGATCTGCCCCCTGTTCCCTTTTCCAGGCTGCCCTCTCGGCCTTTCTTCCTCCTGCTGCTGTATCATCTCCTTTATCAGCCACCGTAATGCATGCTGATCCATTGCCCGCCCCAGGGCGGCTCTTCGCTCTTGCTCTGGTACTTCTCGTGCGGCTGTTGCCCCTGGTATGTATCCCATCGCCAGTTCTCGCTCGGTTGCTGTAGGTTCGTCCCACTGTCCTCTTGCTCTGTCATACACCATGCCTGGTCCTGGCTTGCCTTCTTCCATCACAAATCCTCGGGCTCCTTTGTAGGCCACCAAGGTAGGCCATAACCTTCTTGGCTCGTCCGGTTTATTGCACTGCAGCTGCTTAGGGTGGTCTCGCTTTTCCACCGGGGCTGGCGTTCGTCCTGGCTCTAGGATGTCCGCTACCAGCAAGTTCGTGTCTCTTCTCAGGTCAGCCAGTCCTTGCTCCAGCTTCTCAGTCCCCACTGCGTTCTGCCAGTATCTCCTTACTCGCCTTGCTCTTGCTCCATTCAGAGCGGCATCCCAACTCACGCCTGCCCCCAGCTCCGCCACTACCTTCTCTTGCGTGGCTCTCACTGGCTCTCACGGGTCTCCCATCATGTCCACATGCTCCACTATGTAGCAGCACTGTGATCCCCCTTCCTTGATCCATTTTAGCACTTGCAGTAGCTCATCCAGTAGCGCCGTGCGCGAATCTCCCATTCCCCGCCCCTTGCCGGCTCGTGAGGTGCCTTGACACTCCCATCCCGCCACTACTAGATCCACCTGTCCCCATCCCCATACTGTTGCTTCGTTTAGCTGGCGCACGTCCCAAGCTCCTTCCCGCTTAGCTTCCTCTATCACCGCTCTGCATATCTGTCCCGGATACCTTCGTTACAGCTGCTCCGCATGATGCCAGGCCATGCGCCTGGCCGTTGGGTCTATCTCCACTAAGATCCATCTCTGCACGACCAGTCCTGCCTCCAGTGCCGCTGCTAATCCTGCTCCTATGCCGCCGAAGAGTTCCACCAGCGTGATGGGCTGGTCTCCGAGCATCGCTTCCACTTGCTGATTGAGGTTCACTGTCTTGCCTTGCGCAGCTCCCTTCACCTCATCACTGCTCCTTTTCTCCTCTGCCCTCCGCAGAGGCTCGGTGGCTCTCAAGACCCTCTGTGGCTCCATAAATCGCACCGGCAGATCTCCCTGTGCCCCTCCCTCCTTCCAGTACTCGGTTCTGAAGGTAAGCTTCTCCCCCCACGCGTCAATCTGTGCCCCGATCTTGTAGATTAGCTCCATTCCAACCAGCAAATCGTAGTCGTCTGATTCAGACAGCCCGCACTGTACCCGGATCTTTGTCTCCTCTTTCTGCCCTGGCAGCAGCGCTATCTCAACCGGCTCCTTCGTACTCGGCATCCACTTGGGTGGCCCTCCTTCCGCCGTCATGATAAGCATCCCCTTGCTCATTGTTTCCAGCTTCCCTTGTTGTCTCAGCCGCTCGGCTAACTTCCTCCCCATTAGTACACTCTGGGCTCCGGTATCAATGATGGCATTCTCTACCTTCATCCCTTGTACGGCAATGGTCTCGGATTCTGCCAGCAGCGCGGTCGTGAGACACACCAATCTGTCTTCCGGATGGCGCTTAGCTCGTTCTCCCTTCTCCTCTGCTGTTTCTCCTTTCCTCCTGCCTTGCATCACCGTCTTCTGTTCCTTCCTGCCGTCAGCACCTCCGCTCCTCAGTCCTAACTCATCTCTGTCTCGCGGCAGCATCGCCACGAATGCATACTCGGACTCGGGATCCTCCTTGTACTCTGCTTCCTCCTCATCATCTTCCCACGCCATCATGGCCTTAGCAGGATCTTCTCGGATTTCTGCTTTTCCCAGCTGGGCCTTCAGCTTCTGCACTTCCTGCTCCAGCTCTTGCTCTCTCGTTGATCTCCCCATTTGTCCTCCTCCCCTCCTGTAGCACTGGCTGCTGATGTGCCCTTTCTTTCCGCATTCGTTGCAGGTGGGGGCTTTGGGGCAGTTTCTCCTGAAGTGACCCATCTGCCCGCAATGGTCACACTTGATGCCCAGCCCGCAGTCCTTGTGCAGATGCCCAACTTCTCCGCACTTGTGGCAGCGTCGCTCGTCTCTCGGTCTCTCCTGCTTTTCTTCTTCTGACCGCCGTGCTTCGGGCGCCGACCACATCGGCCTTCTCCGTTCTGCAGGCCTCCGAGCTCCACTCATCATATCCACATATCGCCTACCTTCTTCTGCCTCTTTAGCGATCTGGTATACCTGCCTTAGCGTGGCTCTAGATCGGATTGGGTATAGAGCGCCCCTCATCTCATTAACTAATTCTTCTTCTAACCCCCCCAAGAACTTCGTGACCATGAGACGGTCTTCTAGACAGTTAAGGTCCTCTGATAACTCCACCAGCCTAGTATAATACGCCAGCAGTGATTCCCCTCTGCTTTTCCTAAACTCGCTGAACTCTGCTACCCTCTCGGCAGTGTCGCCTGGGAATTGCTCACGTAGGATGTCGTAGAAATCGTCTATCAGCCTATGAGGTGGGATTTCCCCCCGCTCACACCGTCGTAACAATCTCGCCCGCTCCACTCGATAGTGCGTCTGCGCTTCCCCTCGCAGCATCTTTCCCAAGCCCCTAAAGAACTCCACGGGGTCTAGCCCTTCTCGATCCCAGCAGTAGCGTATGTCTTCAATCATCATGATGTAGTTTTTCAGAGACGGTTCTTCGCCTGGCTCACCCGAAAATCTCTCTGGTACCTCGATCTTCGGTATGCTGGCTGCTGCACTTCGTCCGCTCTCCCAGGAACTCGTTCTCCCGGCTTCGCCCGCGACGTATCTTCCGGCCGCCCGCTCTGGCATAGATCTCAGTCCGTGCTCCCTCGACGATTCATCCTGCTGTCTTTCGTCTTCTTTTCCCATTTCCTCTTGCTCCCGCGGTCCTCCTTCGTGCCGCAGCGCTTCTCCTCTCGTATTTTGCCCGGATCCGTCGCGCGTCCACGGATCGGGCGAGATGACGCTTTCTCCGCGCGGATCCCGTCCGGATCCGCCGTGATTCCGCAGGTCTGACGGATCGATGTCGTCTCTGCGTGTGCCCACTGCTCTCGCTGCCGCTGAAGCATCCGCTTCACGTTCGTCAGGCTCGTGCGGTCCTGCCCGGTACACCGGCTGCAAAGGAGGCTGCACATCCTCCCCCACGCTCCTCGCTGGATACCTCGTCCCCGATCTGAGACGACGTCCCTCGGGACTCGTTTCCCGACTCATCGCTGCGCTCGTCGCAACGCGCCCTTCGCGCCCTCTTATTCTCACTTGTATGTTACAAGCCTCTACCTGGTTGCTCAGATCCACGTGGGACTGAATTCCCGGACTGCAGGACTCTAGTAGGCGTAGAGTATGATTGCAGTATAGTAGGAAAACATACAAGTGAGAAACGATTCGCCTACTGAGTCTTAGTCTATTTACACCTCAGTCTCCCCTGCTACCTTGCCTCTCTCCCATCCTTTCCTTGGGAACTGAGATTCCCTGCTCCCTGCCTTTTGTCAGATGGGGCTATTGCTGACGTCCCTTCCGCCCCCCCTCATTCTTGCTCGCGCCTCGAAATTGTAAGGTCCCATTATCCTCGCGGCCCGATCCCTGAGCTCCTTCATACTTTGTACAGTACAGCACTGTACCTCTCTCTCCCGTATTTTGTATTTCACTTATGCAACTCTTTCTTCTGGTAATTCTCTGCTTCACTCACCTCTTCCCCTGCTGCTGTGTTAACCGTGGGGAGGCTCATGCCTTCCAACGGGTACCGCGACAAAGCGCTGCGCGTCTGGGTTTGGGTTCGCGAAATGGTTTGGGACCGAAGAATTTGGCCGAGCTTGGACTTCCGAGAGTCGAGGGCATACGCACTGTAGTCGAGCCTAGTAAGGAAAAGGGAATTTCCTTACACCACCCCCCCTTCCGGGATAAGACTACCCACATCTGGGACACCTCGTCGGTGTAAGTAGTCCGGGACGACTTTGTGTTCGCCGAGCATAGCTGCGGGGACCCAAAGATCGCCGTCAGTCGTGTGATCGACCCATCGTACAAGGATATCAATGGCTCCTGTATCTCGATGACCTCGTACGCGATGAGCGAGAATCTTGGATGGCTCGATCGTCGGCTCAGGTACTGGGTTGACGGTAGGATTGATGAGTTGACGGTCGAGATTAGTCGTACTCGGGACGAACAGTTGCAGGAGACTGACGTGGAACGAATCATGGATTCGCCCTTCGGTCGGCAGTTGCAGTTGGGTGGTGACAGATGTCACCATGCGGATGATGCGGAATGGGCCGCAGAATCTTTGTCGTAATTTATTTGGGAGGGGAATTCCCAAATTTCTGGTGTCGAGCAGGACCAATTGCCCACGGGCAAGTGTTAAGTCTCGGCGTCGTCGATCAGCTTGCTGCTTAGCCCTCAGGTTGGCTTTGAGGATGGCACCGGCGGCTTTTTGCTGAGACTGTCGAAGATTTTCGACGAACTTTTGCAACCTTGGTGCCGGATTTTCTATCGGGGGTGATAGAGGGGTTGTCGGATCTATCCCATAATTAAGGAAGGGGACTGAGTAGTCGTGGCCGATGGAGCGTTGTTGTACGCAAACTCGATCAAGAGAAGGGCGTCTTTCTCAGAGTTAGAAGTGTTAACTAGAATAAGAGTATGCAGGGGTATATAGCTAGTCGGTTGTACTCTCTATGGCAAGACCCTATGAAGTCTACTAAACACA